GTTGGCTTATAGAACATCTGATGTAAAGATTCATGGATGATTGACAGGTGTTGTTTTTTTTTTCTTTTTTTTACTATACATGAAACAATATCACAAATCAAGATTACGGCCTTAAGCAGCTGAATGAATGAAGTAAATAACCATCATTTTACCTTAGTTCACCAAGGCCATCACAGTCTCCACATTCTCTCTAACTTCAGGTTACTAAACACCAGTTTCTAATATAATGCATTACAAAATAACTGACATCTGACACAACTGAAACCTCCATCTCCATGAAATGCTATCTAAATAATGTAACTGAAATGACTGAAGATGCCATGTTTTAACTGAGCCAGGCTCAGACTGCAGGAGTTTGGGGTTGATTTACCCCGTTTTACCTCTTTAGACTATCAGAGGAGAAATCTGGCTGCTTGATCAGAACTGATATTCGGCCCAGAATATTCACTAATGTCAGCGGTTTACACCTTTTATTTAACTTATTGAACCTCTCAGACTGCTCACAGGCCCACCTGGTCCATCCCAGTAACATCCAACGTGTTGGATATTTAAAATATGGATGGTTATGATTATCATGCTACTTTTTATGGTTATCAAGCAATACTAAACACTGTAGCTCGTGAGGCTAACGTTAGCTACAGATTATTAAAACTGAAAGCTAAAATCTCTCCAACTCAGCTCGACCAGATCTGGAATGATTTCAGGTCAGATAAGGCATCAAAACGGTCTGTCTAACAAGCTATAATTAAGGATATGTGACAAAATATGTCAGGAAATGAGCCTTTAAACCCTCTCTGTGGACGCCTTTCACCTCATTTTTAAAAATTTGGTTCCATCCTTTTCATGGAAACATCACAGAACCAGGGTTAATTCTGAGTTTTAAATGTCTTTAAAAGGTCTTCAGTACACACCTGGTTCTCTCAGTTTTAATAAAAACTAAACTATCTATTATTAATGTACGTATTCATAGCTTTTAAATTGCTGCATTTGTATATTACAGACTTCCGTTTTGGTGAACACCTGTGTCCTCACAACGCCTACAGCAGTCGACTCTTCCTCTGTAGTCGCTTCATGTTTCAGCTTTTAAATTTAAACTTACCACAAGTGTCCTGACTGAACTCACAGTGGAGGGTTTTTGGTTGGAAGAAGTATTTTCTCCTGGTGGTTAGGGCTACAGATAAGGAGGTAACACAGCATTTGGCTCATTTCTGTTCTTGAAGTCAGACTGCAGCTCTGTGGATTCACCTCCCAGTTTGTTAGACACAACTGTGAAATCTTCACCACCTTAACATGAGAAAGCAAAAATATGAACAATATTTTAAGTGTAATGCAATCCAGTACAGCACCGCCACCAACCGTGACCTCAGTGATAAAACAGAATCATCACCTTTTTGACAAGGTCAACAAAAACTACATCTGTAGAGCTTCATACAGGACAAGTTATTGCACAGCAGCTGTATTAGATTGCAGTGGACTTAACAGATGTGCCGACTAAAGTGGCCGGTGAGTTTAAGTGCTGGCATGCGGTACCAGAATTGACGATGGGCATCAAACCAGCAGCTTCAGATTCCAAACTGCTTTGTGATTTATAGGATTTGAATCCTGAGGGATTACATAACTCCAGCTGTGTTCAAGGATAAAAGAAACACCAAATTCAATTACTTCTCTGCAGAAACAGTGTGAAGAAGGAGAGCGACAGCAAGCGTAGAAAATCCTGTTTGAGCCTGTATGTGTGTGTGTGCATGTATGTGTGTGTGTATGTGTGTGTGTGCATGTATGTGTGTGTGTGCGTGTGTGTGTGTGCGTGTGTGTGTGTTGCCAGTCTGTGGTAGTGACTCCAGACTTCCTCTCTGCAGGATTATTGGTATCTGGCGCCACCTTGTGGTTAAACACATTTTGGGACTTGACTCCCCAGTGAGAAATGCGTTCAAAGGAAATCTGCATTTTTTGTAACTTACTCACAAAATTGCACAATTTGGATTTGACTTCTTTCAGATTTGAAGGGAAAAACATTTAAGTCTTGAGTGGAACTGGTAAAATTCCAACAAACAGAAACAACAGACTTTGCACAGCCGTATGTGCGTACATATTTAATCAGCCATAAATTCTAACTACATAAACATAAAAGCTTTGAATACCAAAATGCTGAGACATTCAAAGTGGGATTTCACAGAAAATGAAAGACTTAAATTTTTCTCATGACAGCTTGAGATTTATTTGCCCCAGTAGATTTTTTAAAAAAATTATATAATTTAAAAAGAAAAACCATACACACCCTTAGTGTTTCTTTTGGCACGTTGTCGCCAGTCAACATAAAAGGACAGAGTCACTGTTCATTTTACTTGACCTTTATTTACTCAGGGTGGAGAAATCAAGCGTCCATTTAAACCATTTCTCAGGAGCGCTCGGCTCGGCGCTCACACTGCCGTGCACTGTTGCAGAACAGCCACAGTCGTGGTTTGTTAGTTATTGAGCAAATACACTGAAATATTTAGAGGCTAGGTGTCCTGCTCGAGGGGAGAAAACCAACATCTGACTTCAAAGAGGCTGCTGATGCTGGTAAACACTTCTTACTTCCTCCTCCTGTCTTCTGAATACTCTGGCTTTTATTGACAACAGAAAATCCTCCTGATCTTTTACATTAATAAGAAACTGGTAGCGTTCTGAGCAGGTGGGAGTGACATTTACTGCAGCTTGAACTGGGCTGTGTGTTTATTGGACTGGACAGACTGGTACACAGGTGTTAAGGGGACAGTAAAACCAGAGCAGTGAGTGTTTTAAGTTTCCTGCTAAAACGTCACCTTCTTACCTTAATTCAGTGTTTTCTGACACTGAGATATTTTTGTGATTATTCCTTAAAACAAATAAAACTCTCAGCCAGTTTGGTTTCATGTTGTCGCTCGGTGTTGTAAAAAATATACTGATATTGTGTGTAAGCTGTGAAATAACACGTTCGAATGACAGTTTGTGCTGCTCACAGTAGTGAATTCAAAACATCGTGTAATACTTTAAATTCAGAGTTATTATAAGACGCTTGCCATTGGCAGTACATTCAAACAACCACAGTATCAAGAGGCGTGTTTCAGCCACAGCAATACGCACAGAGAAAACCAACACGCCACAAACATCAGAAACACATCTGGAATCCCTGTGAAAATATAAAAAATACATATATTAAAACTCCTTTCCAATGTTTCCTTGTTTATGGCACACTGGTACAAAGAAAAACAACAAGGTGAGAGATATATAGAATTGTCATTGACATGCATTTTCAATGCCATAAGTAAACATCTGCTTAAAAACCCTGATTTGGGCGACTGAAGTAAAGGTGTAAACAACATAAAACTTTTCTAAATCACTTTCCTCAAACATTTCTGGCTTCCTGGTTGCTCAAAGTTCAACATAATTAATCAACTATATTTACAGTGTCAAAATACATTTTACTGCAGCACAGTGTCAGTTCTTGTACCAGGAACTCTGTCAGTTTGTGACAAAAAATTAAAAATGAAGTAACAGAAAACAAAACAGCCGACACAAGCAGGTTTAAACTCAGAGAACAGTTTCTGAGCAGCATGCCACTGGTGTGTTTCTAACTCTAAAGGGTCAGTTCATCCAAATCGCTATACAGATTTTTAAACTTAACTGTTTCAGTTTCATTCGCTGAGGTTTTCTACTGTTTTATAGCCAAGTATGATCACTAAATGTCGATTACATGGCAAGATCAAAAAGTTCTGGGACTGTTCCTGTATCATCCTGTATCACTGTCGAGTGCCAGGAGACTGCATGACGTTGCATCATCAATGAAACCTGTGTTACCCATGGTTTTGTGATCACAAGTGGGAGCCTTTTGCGATTTCTGCATCAACTACAAACTGGTGCAGAGTAGAAAACATTCTGTCAGGATGATTCAACCTTGATGTCTGGGATCGTGACTGGTGACGAGAGGTGGGTCTGCGGCTACCACTGTAGAAGAGATAGTTTCACAGTGGAAGGGCTAAAGTTTCCAAAAGTCAGGAGCATGCTTTCTTTTTTCGCCAACATTCACGTGATAGTGCACAGAATGTTTGTCAGTTATGCAGTCATGTCCTGAGGCATCTGACGGGAAATATCTGGAGCAAACCAACTGAGCTGTGGTCCACTAGTATGTGGGCGCTTCAATGCAAAGTTTTTGGCCACAACATCACAATGGTCACCCAGCACCTGTCCTACTTGCCAGATTTGGCTCCTTATGACTTCCTCCTCCTCCCCACAATGAAATCCAAGCTGCCATTTCTACACATTTTAGGAGATGCAGCGGCCATCGTACCTGCTGCTTGACTCACAGAACGGGACTTCCAGAGAGTGTTTCCAAATCTGGTAGTCTTTCAGATTTTTATTGGCAAACTCTCTAAACTTTTTGATCACACCTTGTATCTAAACTCAACAGAGATCTGTTCACATCCAAGATGCCAGACATCTAAGAAACTTCCAACCTCTTTTTACATTAACTCATACCTCCATCCAACTATTTGAGCAAATACGTGATTAGAATTTGAGTGGACTGACCCTTTAAATTTCAGTGAAGCGATCTTGACATTCCAGCTGGACCGTCAGCGTCACCTCAGATCACATCTTGGACAGTAGATATGCTGCCTCTAAAACCAAGACGTCCTTATATTTATCTGTACTCTTAATTTTGAGATTTACACTTCTTAAAAACAAAAACAAAGTCAACAGTTTTGACGTGAAAATGACACAAATAAAAGTCATATATCTCTGAAAGTTTGTGTAACAGATTAACTTCAGCTGAACTTAAAGAGCACAAAGATCCAACAATGTAAAAACCTTTTTCAAAGTTTGAAGTCTTTCATAACTGAAAACGTTCACCTGGCTGAGTTGGCACCTCAAATGCGATTTGACATCATCCCGGTGTTCAGTTTCAGAAAGAACGACTTCAGTTTGCACAGCCGGCACTTCTTTTTCTTCCTCTTCTTCTTGACGTTCTTACCTTTCTTGTACACTCCTTGATATTTACCCTCCTCGTCCTCCCCTTCGTCCGCCCAGGGCACCCAGGCTCCTCCGTGCCGGCTGGGGTTGGCTCGGGGGTCGTCGGGTGGAAAGTAAACTGGCACTGCTGTTTGGTTGTAGTAGGCAAGTCGCGCCAACAGCAGTTGGACCACATCTGGCCTCTGGTCTGCAAGGTCATGGCGCTCGTACGGGTCGCCTGTGATGTTGAAGAGCCAGACGTTTTTGTGGGCGGAGGATTTGTAGAAAGGCAACGTGGTGCGTTCAAGGTTCCACCAGCGACCAGGGAGGGTTGGAAGCACCTGGGGGGTTAAGGTTTGCAATTATTTATGGACATTATGATAAATTTCCATTTTCTCTTCACCGCTTAATCCTCATTAGGGTCGCGGGGTGGCTGGAGTCTATCCCAGCCGACTTAGGGCGAAGGCAGGGGACACCCTGGACAGGTCGCCAGTCCATCGCAGGGCTACATTATGATAAATTTGAAACTGAAAATTAAAATTAATTTCTTTTACTGTAAATTGCAGTACCTGTGGAGGGACCCAGTCTCCGTGACCTGGATCTCCTGTTAGCAGCTTCCAGTCTCCGACTCTGATGGCAGCCTGGACAGACGTGTCCCACACCGGCTGGAGACCAACAGAGGCAGTTGGATGGGATTTGGGCAGCTGTGTTCCTGGCTGGGAAATGTTCTGGTACTGGAATGGTGTCCGCCTGGATTTTGCCTTGAAATGTAGTTTGAGCTGAGTCTTGGATCTTGGCAGAGCTGGTCCAAACTGTGACAAATTCTGGTTCTGAGTTGTGGTCCGCCTGGATTTTGTCTTCAAATGTGATTGGCCTCGAGGCGGAGATTTGGGGCGGGATGTTCCTGACACTGACGGAGCACCACTGGAGCTAATCTTCGGATTTGGCATGTAATGGGAAAGGGTCTGGCGGTGAGAGTGAGCTTTGGTCTTGGATTTAGATGTGGGTTTTGATTTGGGAAGGGGCTTAAGCTTCGATTTGGGAAGGGGCTTGGATTTAGATTTGGCAGCATGCTGGGCAAATGTCCGAGGTTTCTTGGTGGTCTTTAACTTAAATGCTGACTTTTGTTTGGGCTGTTGCTTCAAAACCTTCTTCTTCTTCGGCTTCTTCAGTGCTGTGCCTTTTGGTGTTCTCACTGGCAAATCAAAGAAAACAGAAGTTAAACAGGAAAACAATGTAAGCAAACTTCCATATTGCTCAGTTATCTGTGAGGGGTTATTAGACCCTCAAAAACTCAGTCCTTCATATGTTTCCTTTCCACTTGAGGACCTGTGTGTTTTTAAAACACAACCCGCTGCCGTTTTCAGAAGGTTGCAGAGTGCGGCACACTCAACTGAGAGGCCACCTGTGATTAAAGTAGATGCAGCTTTGTTGCACTTCTTCTTTGCTGCATCAAATGTATGCAGTTGAGAATTTTTAGGCCCAGTTCAGGAACACGTCCTACTGACTCCTTGTCATGAAGGTTTAATTCATTTCAGTTTTGTTTGGGCAGAACTAAGCATTTTGATTTTTTTGCTGGAGTTTTTCAAATCTCATTCTGGCCCGGTAACGGAGACAACAAGATTATGTTTGCCTAGTTTGTTCAGTTTGGCCTTTTACCGACTGACATTAGATGATTCTTTTAGGTGGAAATTTCCCAAAACGTGGTCAAGAGCTTCAGGGTTTCCCTTCTTTTACATCTCTCTCCCCTTCACCTCGTATTTATATATATTTTTTTGTTTTACAAACTTGTGTTTACTTCTTTTCCCGACCTCATTCCTTCTTTTTTCTCTCTCTTTCCTCTATGCAGATCTGAGGTAAAAAAAAATCTGTCCCTCAATCCAAACTCTATCTGCAGTGTGAACATGTATTTACACACTCCACATAGCTCTACATAAACACAGCAGGGCTTTGAGCTCAACTGGCTAACATGCTGATGTTTAGTAGGTACAATATTTACTGTGTTAATCATTTTGGTTTAATGCTATCGCAAATAAGCAGTAAAGTCGGAGTAAATCGTGACTGCATTAGCTCAGTATTGTATATTTAGTTTTCCATGATAGCTGAACTCCATGTGCTGATGAAAACCATGAGATGCAGTGGGATTTGTGTTTTCTTCGTGACCTAAAATGCTCAAAACAAGCAGTATAACATTTTAATTTCTAACTACGCTGTACCGAATTTACCTTGAACGGACACTGTGGGACCTGTCTAACAACTTGGACCTGCAATCATGAAATTTATTCGTGCAACAGCCCTTTATTGTGTTGTTTTAGTTCTTCTAGTTACCCAAAGGTTTCTCTTTGCTGGCATCCCAGCTCATGGTTTGAGTAGGAGGTTTGTGCAGAGGGTCAATGTTGTGAAGGATCTCGCGTCGAGGTGACTCTTTCCCCTCGCTGATGGTGGGCCAGACGTCAAAACCATCCAGACCGGGACTCTGAGGGGGGCACAAACACATGAATCACAAAGAACACACGGCAAAAGTCACAAGTAGAGTAATGAGATTTTCTTGCGTTAATGTTTCCAGAAGAAATACTCATACATTTACCGCACACAAATAAATAATGACGAATTTCCTGAGGCAATGGAGGCTGTCAGCTTTCTGAATTAGTCAGACACTGTGGCAATTGTAACCAAGATAGCCTTGCTTATCTGCTTTGACTGTGGAAATTTACTAGCATATCAAGCCAACAAAGCTTTTTGGGAGCTGTACACAGACTGCACTGACTCGCAAATTAAAGTAATTTATGTCAGAGCCAAAACACAAAGCATTTATGTGGCCAGTGTTTAGAAATAGTGCACTTATCGTAATAGGTCAAGAGCACATTCATCTACAAGATAGTAAAATGAGGACAGTTTTACGGTAGCACTGGAACATTTGTAAAGTCTGAGGCCAAAACAGGGACACATGTAGGGAGAGCTCCATATTTAACTCTAACCGTGACGACAAATAAACTTAATTTAAATCGGTGGGAGACGCCGAGCGATTCCAGTTACCGCAGAACGAATTCTAGCAGGGTAAAATGTTTTGCAAGACACCTAAAAAAAACATACAGAACCTGAATATGGGGAAATCTGAAATGCCTCACAGTAACGTGAGAGCTTGTATCAGTATCGTGGGTGGCTGCAGGGAGAAAAGCATCCCGATGTCTAAACCAGTAATGCTTTCAATGCATTTTTTCTACGGCGTTTACCTTTTATCATTCCATACTCACTCTGAGACGACAAAGATGTGACTGAGAGAGCAACATCAGTCACGGGAATGAAACAGTACAAGAAACCAAACGGCTGCTGAAAGGGGATAGAATAACAAAATGAAATCTGTTGTTCTAACACAGAGCCCTGCTGACCTGGCTGATGTTCCCTCCGGCCAGGCCGACCAGTGTGGGGAACCAGTCAGTGATGTGGAGAAGATCTTTAGAAACTCGTCTCCTGCGTCTCAGCAGAGGGCTGTGGACGAACGCTACTCCGCGGACTCCACCCTCCCAATATGTGCCCTGAAAATACAGCCAGTAAGTTTAATTACAGCCTTTTCCGACCCATAAACAGAGATTTTTTTTTGTCATGTCTCATCTCTAAAATTATGCAGACATACAGACACTTGAGAAAAACAGTTACAGGCTTTAAGTTAATATTTAGCAAAGGTTTTTAACACAGGCTTTGTGTGCAACTATCAAAACTACTGGTTGTTGCTTTAAAACCAGCATCTGAAAATCAACAGTCATGTTGTTGCTCCTTTCACTTTCAGCCAACAAAACATAATCCGGACAAAACCAGTTAAAGGTGTAAAATGAGCAATAGTAACAGCTGTTTCTCCTTCGCCTTTCTCATATCTGTTCCGCTCTGTTGGTGTTTGTTTCCAAGTTTCCAGTGTTGGTCATTTTGGGGAAACAGACACACAAAGACTGGAGCAGACCGGTGGAGGTGACCGGATCTGACCACATGTGGAAACAGATACAAAAAGACTGGTGTGGAACAGACATGAGGGAAGAAAAAGCAGCAGACACCCTCACACTGAGATAAAAAAAAAATTAAACAACTACACAAACATTTAAAGAATAACAAAAAAACCCCCCAAAAAAACAATAGTTGTAAAATTTGTTGTTCTTTTGGACACTGGCTTGCAGCGCTAGGTTTTTGTTTTTCCAGTGTGGCATCTCAGTGTGTTTATAAGCGTGAGGAGGGGCAACAGTTTCAAAGGGAGGAGCTCACATGCACTAACATGCACTAATATGCACTAACATGCACCAACATGCACTAACATGCACCTGCACCCAGACCAGCTGTCAAAAAATAGAACAAAGAAGCTCGAATTACAACGCACACAGAACGGATGTGACTTCATTCTCTGATAAGGACACAACTACACCACAATATCTTTCACTTTAAACACAACACATTAAAACATTTGCATGATGAATATTTCTTGCATTTAAAGAATTATGCACAATATCAATTTTCTCTACACATCTGTGCAATAACAATATTTCTGCTCATGAAAAAAATCTGTGCAATTTTGTTATTTTCCACATCCAGAGGAATCTCTATCCATCCATCCATCCATCCATCCATCCATCCATCCATCATCTATACACCGCTTAATCCTCACTAGGCTCGCGGGGGGCTGGAGCCTATCCCAGCCGACAGTCCAGGGTTTTAGAGTGTTGCTTGAAACACACACATATTTTGAAACTCATTAAATGTTTAAAATATAGGTCCTGAATTGTGCACAAGTAGACAGAACCAAAAACTACTGCAGTGATACTGACACCGTGAAGCTGTAACACATCACTCGTGCTTAGATCTTTGTAAAAAATGTAAAGTTTTGCTGAAGTGGTGACCATATGTTCCCTAAATCAGAACGCTTTACTCTCTGTACTCAGTAAATTTCGTATTAAGCTCGTCGTGGCCTGTCAGCTTTCCTGCTTTGAGATAAATACAAATGTTAGCAAGGAGCAGTTGCAATGTGCTAATGTTCAGTACAGAGTGTTAACATCCTTACTTTGTGCATGTTAGCATGTTCACCTACATTTTGACCTGCGAATAACACATCGCTGATTTGCATAAACACCCTCCTAAAGGACAAATTCCCTCTGCGAACACAAAAACAACAAACACTGAAAACAGTCTGCCAGAGTAAGACAAAACTACACCAACACTTAGAGGAAAGTGGTGTGCAAAACAGGAAAATGCATGAGGTTCTTTCTACCTTACGGCCTCGTAGCGGCCAGTTGCTCCCGCCTGTGAACGGCTGAGCCCCATTATCGGTGGAGTAGATGATTACGCTGTTTCGGTAATATCCGTATTTTCTGAGGGCGTAGGTGACATTTCTGACCGCCTCGTCCACTGTGGAAACCATGGCGGCAAACTTTCTCCTGGCGACGTTAGCCATGTCCCGGTAGGGGTATATGTAGGACTTGGGAGGCTGTAGAGGAGTGTGGACTGCCTGGAAGAAAACATTTAGACAGTTTATTTATGTTCCTTTAATTTGTGCAGCTTTAAGGAGATCCAGGTTGTCAGCGCTTCAAAGGGATTGAAAAAGGCCAGTTCTCCTGTTCGTAGTCCTTTATCCCTCGTCTGAATGGTGGCTACACTTTCTTCAGCTTGCAGTCTGGCATCAGATGAACATGGCTGCCCACAAAAATCAACTGTAAACAAACATTTTTTTGAGTTTGAATTTCATTTTCTGTGTGCTTTTAATTAAACTGTTAGCATCCATATGAGTCAAACAGTGTCTAAATAAGTTCCCTGTGCTCAAACACAGCTAAACAAACAAATAGTGTGGCCTCCAAGTTTCTCCCAGACTCCTCACGTCCAGACATAAACTAACACAGCATCAAGGCCACTTCGGGCTTTACTGTATTCGACCTGTATTTTCTTCAGTGTAAACACAGATGCATTTTTTTTCCCCATTTTTCTGACTTCAGACCTCATCAGATACCTGCAGGGAAAGCAGCAGGAAGAGCGGCCTGTCGGTGGGGTCGTGGCTCTCGATGATCTTGCGAGCTCGCTGCGTGAAGAGCGTGGTGGAGTATTTCCCCTCCTGACCCCACGCCACGCCCTCGTCGTCATGAAGATCGTAGCCGCACAACCCCGGGCCATCGCAGGACCCATAACTAACACAGATAAAGAAAAGTGAGTTACTGAAGTACACAGTGAAAAATACTGGTGCACACTGTCGATGCAGTTTATGCGCTGATAATCTTAACAATAACACTCATCATTTACCTGTAGTAATCCACACTTCCTGTTAAGGAACCAAAGAAACTGTCAAAACCTTTTCTGGTGGGCAGACATGCTTTCCTAAAGGAGAAGTTAAAGAGAATGTTAACGAAGCATCAGATTTCAATAGTTGTTTTTTTAAGTTTCTCTATAACACATCATAAAGAAAGGTTCATTTGTTTCATCATAAAACACCTACAACGTGTTTTTTTTCATGTTTAAAACCTACATTCTTTACATCCACATTCGCTG